AAAAAAAAAAAAAAAAAAAAAAAAAAAAANATATATATAAAAGTCCACCAAAACCCTCTTATATCGCCTGATTGGAGAATCCGACTTGACGTTCGAAGAGTATGCCACATTATTCACCCAAATAAAGGCATTACTTAAAAGTTAATTCACGTTTCTTCTACCGTTGGCGTTGAAGCTTGTTATCTCACCCGTGGTCATTTTCTGAAGGGATATTCTCTCCTGCCTGTCCTGTAACTCCCTTTTCAGATTCAGATAACCCTCTCATCGTTGGCGTCGGTTAATCGCGCTCCACTAAAGTTTTTAGTGTCATTGGCTGACATCTTATCTGAATATCTTGATGCAAAGACAAAAGTGGCAACGTCGCGAACATTATTTTAAATAAGGCGAGGTAGTTTTCTTCAAAAACTCCCGCACTTCACCATTGTCCTGGCCTATCGGTTGAATACGCGAAATTCATCCTGATGCCGATGGGGTCACTCGCGTTGCGACAATCCTCACTTTTGGTGGAATTTTCACTCATCCCGTCCAGTGTCTCCTCCCCCTATCTACCTCCTCCTAGTCTCCACAGCTCTTTCCATTTCGTTTTGTATATATTTGATCAAAAGTTAATTATTTTTGTTTACAACTTATCTGTTTTTTTAATCTTTCAGAAAATTTTCTGTAAAATTTTGGTGGGCGGTATGTTTTGGCCAGAGCAAATAGAGGCCCTGCACTTTGACCTTTTGAGTCCTCTACTAAATTTCTTCCTTCGTCCTTTTTCCAGCAGTTCTGTCTACGAGTGCTAATCTTTCAAAAAACCTCTTCTCGCTCTCTCTCTCTCTCTCTTTTATATATATATATATATCTTCATATTTATTCTATTGTCGATCAATCTACATATTTTTCTTGTACATTTCACTATCTGTTTATGTATCTACATATCAATAAATCTATTTATATATCTGTGTAATATTCTGTTCTTCTCCCTTTCTATACTTCTAATTTTCTATCTATCTATCCATTTCCCTATACTTTTATTAGATATATCAATATATCTATCTTTCTCTCTCTCTCTCTCTCTCTCTCTCTCTCTCTCTCTCTCTCTCTCTCTCTCTCTCTCTCTCTCTATCTATATATCTATCTATATCTATATCTCTCTCTCTCTCTCTCTCTCTCTCTCTCTCTCTCTCTCTCTCTAATTATGTAATATCCTATCAGACAGCTTATTGGCATTTTTCAGGTTAATTATGTTAGAAATGTACTAATCAGATGTTGGCACTCTCAAAATTATGAAGATTTGAGAGAAAATAAAATCAAGTAATTTTTTCCGTATATTATTTTATTGATTGCTAAGCTACTTTGGGCAGTTAAGCTGTCAGAATTAATTCATTTAAATAAATTCACTAGTTTTCGTGGTCCGCTTGACCAATTATTATCTTTCAATTAATTAATTTCAATTTATCTCAGCTAAAAACCTTAATTAATTGAAACAGTTATATAAATTTGAACATGGACTTTTTCCATTTTAATGTATTTGTTGTTGATACTTAAAATGGGTATTTTTTTAAAGGCTTATGGCAGTTACAGTAAATAAATGTATCCATGTAATTTGGTCTCTTACCGGCCAAAGCGATGATCAGATAAATTAAATGAGCGTACATAGTTCACTCGAGATGCGCCTCCTTTCGACTGAATGAAGAGACGAATGCGTCTTATATTTTATTGGCGCATGCTCCAAGAAACTGCTAACTCTAGTTTTCTTAATTGCCCTACTAGTACATAGATAAAAAAAAACTCATCATGAGGATTTATGTAAATACAATAGGTTGTACGATCTTCTTAATTAGCAATACCATAATATTGTTTATAGATGACTGTATGTATGTTGTAAATATGTATGCTGATAATTAAAAAAAAGTATTAAGATTGAGTGAAACTGAGTAGATTAAGATGAAAATTGATAGGTTAATCTAGTGAGGTTTGGTCCTAAATCCAGACACACACTCATTTTGATTTATCGTAATTCGGAATATTGTTTCGAAATATCTTTTAGATAAAAGTATCCTTCGTACGATTTAAAAGCGAGATTAAAAGAAATATCAAATTTTTTTTTAAATTGAATTTATTTATACTATCTGTACACAGTAAATATATATTGAAAAAATAGTACAGATAATTACAATCAAATCTGACAGGTCTGTAAAACTACGAGGTTAGATGAAAGAAACAAGCAACAAGTGCTGGAACTCACTCTTTGGACGGCTAGGATAAAGGTCACGAGGCCATCGTCGTTTTAGACAGCGTGGAGGATTATAAAAGGGGAAGGACGTCGAGTAAAGAGTTTTAGTGGGTTAGCGTGGAGTGGTAGAGTATAAATCGAGAAATGGGATTTTATGATCTAAGGGAACGTATAAGGATATGGCGGAGAACTTTGGATTGAATCAATTAATTAAGGTTTTTAGTTAAGATAAAAAAGTCAATGTCACGAGCGGGATACGAATCCACGATCTTCGGCTAGATACGCCGCGACTCTACCACCTGAGCTATCGCGACTTCGATCCACCCGGACACTAATCTCCCTCTCAACCCCACCTTTTGAATTTTCCCTCCTTTTCTCCGTGGCCATTTCAATTGTCACCGAGAATCAAACGGATTACACGACATTTGAAAAATGACAAAAAGGATGGAAAAGGTGAGGTTGAGATGGGAAGTTAGTGTCCCGGATCGAAGTCACGATAGCTCAAGTGGTAGAGTAGCGACGTTTCTAGCCGAAGGTCGTGGGTTCGAATCCCGCTCGTGACATTGACTTTTTATCTCAACTAAAAACCTTAATTAATTGAAAGATATTAATTCGTCAAGCGGACCACGGAAACAGGTTATTTGGTTTGAATTTTGGACGAGCCCCATAAGTCCGAATCAATGTTATGAGAGTTTTGTAAGCGGTTAGTTTGTTATGTATGCTTAGCGTTGATGTTGGTACCAGTAGGCCTGAGTAGTTCATATTTTTTGATAATTTCTTGTCCTTTAATCTTTTATGTGAGTTCCGGTAGCGGATTTGGTTGGACCTGAAGGAGGGATTTCCTGTGCACTTATAGACAAGCCTGATGTCTGAAAATAACTTTACTTTTTGGCTTTATGCTTGTTCAACCTGATTCGCTCAGCGTGCACCAGCCAGTAGTGAAGTTCTGATGTGCTTGTGTGGCCGTGTCGTCTGCATAGGTTGTGAATTGTGCAATCCATCGAAATGAAAACGAAACGAAAAAGTAAGCAAAAAGCAAAGAAGGGCGTTAAACAATGGTGAGCGTTTGATGTCACGTGGTTGACAGTTGAAGTCGAAGTAACCATTCGGCCTAATAGGACTGGAAAATCCAACTTTATTTGGATCGGAAAGTGCTTTGGCCGTACACGGCCCAACATGACCGAACGAATTGGTTCTAATGGACGCGTGCTCATTCGTTTCTTCGCTTTTGGATCATCCGGCCCTATTCGACTATGCAACGGCCGAGCAAGTTCGGCCGAAAACGGCTCCAGTGGACGGCCAACCTTAACCGTCTCTACTTGGTCGGGTCTCAAAACGAGAACAATGTAACGAATTGAAACACTCCTCGACTTCCCATAAATGCTATGTTTGATTTGTTCGTGCTTTTAAATTGGCAGTTGACTCTTTGGAAACATTGGTACCAGAAATTTAAACAAATCACTTCATTGTTTCAATAGTGTATGGGGACCGCTATTTTTTTTCTATCATGAAATGCTGCAATTAAAAAACGAGGGTAAATACCTTGGAATAATCTTTGATAAGAAGAGATAAGAAACTGGAACCCTCACCTGCAGTATACCAAAGCGACAAGTAAAATATCGCTAATGACTAGAAGAACCTTAGGCAAATCTTGGGCATTAAAACCGAAAATAGACCCGTTATACACGGCAGTAATAAGAAGCAAAATAACTATGATACCAACCTTAATAACCGTAATAACCTTTTGACCTCTGTTCAAAATAACTTATAGATATCTGGTGGACAAAAAGTAGCTACTCGATTACGTGGCAGCATACAAAGATTAGCAAACCTATGTAACACAGTGGCAATGAGAACAACTCCTAGTAGTGCACTAGAAACTGCTAACCCTACTTACACTGGAAACATGTATAAAAGGAGAGGCTAGGAAAAGCTCATTTAGGTTCAAAACAATCAATTGGAACTAAACAATTCGGACACACAACCATAATTAATAAAATCAGACTCCCATTCACAGAAATGGGGACTGACTGCATGATCCGGAAACACTCTGTAAAGTCAACGGACTAAAAGGAGGGGAAGAATTCAGGACAGCATCAGATACAATGATATGGTACTCAGATGGCTTCAAAACAAACGAAGGAACTGGATCAAGTGTTTTTTGTACACGCCGTAAATATGTTCAGTCAAACCTATTAGGGGAAATACAATACACCCCGGTCTTTCAAGGAGAAATACATGCCATCATCGCTTGCGCTCTAGAAAATCTTAAAAGAGGTTAGACTGGCAAAAATCCTCATAAAATTTTATAAACAAACAGCTATTAAAGCATTAGCATGTAAAAAATTAGATAAAAATTAGTCAGTGAATGCATCCAAAATCCAACCAAAAGGTCCACCAAATTTTCGGAAAATTTGAAGATGAGACATATTTCACGTAAGAAGTTTTTCTAGTCTGCAATGGAGCTTAGACATCCATGAATGGACTTAATAATACTTTTTTATGAGGGTATTTGAACTACTGGGTTTTATGAACCCTGCCGGTGATTTTGAAAAAAAAAGATCATTTGTAAGTATGTCGGGTTCGAATGCAGGGTCGCTAGTTTCGAACCCGGGACCTTTACCTTCAGTAACAGTCGTGGTCACCGACCCCTACTCAGTTATTCTTATTGTACATCTTTAGGATAATTTGTTAGGATTTTTGTGGTTCTATTAGTAGGTGATTTGATTGAACATTTGTTAAGTTTAGAACATTAATCATTTCAACAAAAAGAACCTCGGAATCCTTTTTTTGTAATAGTATACCCAAGTTTATTGTAATGATCATTCCTGCCCCTTCCGTTAGTTTTACAAAAGATCACTTTCTAAATGATCGTCAATACTTTCTTCTTCGACAAGATTTATTTCTTTAGAAGAAGCCGAGTACTGTAAAACGATGTCAAACGCGTTCTTCCAACTAGCCATGTTTGTTATCGCACCTGTGTCGTCCTGAGAGCCGGTAGAAATCATTTTCGGCGTCAGGCTGTAAATCGAATCGATCATTTTGTAAGTGTCGTTCGCCAGATACGTCGTGTTCTCGTTTGAATTTTCAGAATTGAAAGTACTTAGATCTTTTTGAGAGCCGGTACGGCCCGGACAAGGGCGTATCAATAGATCCAGAACTTCGGTGAGCGATCTTTTCAACTCCTGTCTGTTGTCGCTGTCGATTTTTTCTTCTTGACTTACAACACTGGTCCAGCTGTCTTTCGTGTCTTTTCCGTTTGAGCAGTCTTCTAGGCTGTTGGATCCTAATTTGTCCTGTGACGAGTTGGTAATCGATGTAGATTTTGACACGGACGAGTTTACTTTCGTCGTTTCCAAAGGTGTGTACACTTCTTTAAATTCTTGTTCGCTTAATTTATTTGAATTCAATTCCTTGACGTTTTTTCCTTCATATGGCAGCACTGAATGGGCACTCTCGCTCGTTTTGATTTGAGAGCTCTCTGAATATTTATTACTGCACTTTTCAATCTCTTCGATCATGAACGTTTCACTAGTCGAAGTAGAGGGTTTGATCTTGACTTCTTCCGGTTTGGCGAAAGGTTCCGGCTTTATTACGTCGTCCGACGACTTCATGGTTTTTGTAGTTGGGCTTTTGGCCGGAATCGAGCTCTTCTCATTGACGATGGATTTGCGTTTTTTCCTCTTGCCCGACCTCTGTTTTTCCGCTCTGTTTTGATTTAACACAGAGAGTAGCGTTTTTACTGATGAATTTTTGAAAGTTTCTCTCATGACTTCTTGGAATAAGTGTTTCCATATCAACATTTTTAAAGTCGTCTTCCGTTTTGAATCCCTTATGTGTTTCATATGAAGATTTCCTTTGAATTTGTAACTCCTCGGTTTGGTTTTTGCAAAATAACGGTTAGCTTTTGACAATCTGCCATTTTGACTAGTCGAATATTGTGGGAAATCTTTTCTTATCAGCGTATTTTGTCGGAAATCCGAGAGGGCCGCTGATTTTGGCGTAGATGCATCTTCGAATTTTGGATTTTTTGAAGAGAACAGCGGGGTATACCTGTCTTTTAGAACGTTCCGGCTTAGTTCTTTGTTGACACCATTTTTACACAGCTCCTTAACGTAGTCGCCCGCGTTTTGTGCAATGACGTGCGGCCGTTCTCCAATGAATTTTCTCAAATTCTGAAGGTTTTCATCCAAGTCGCTGTGAATGCGCTTCAAGTCTTCGGCAATCACCTTCAACTTCAAAACCCGTTTGGCACAAGACATGTCGTCAGTCGGAGAGGTGTGATATGTCGGATGGCCATTGTTGTACAATTTTTTTATCACCGATGTAACTTTATAATCGTTATCTTCGTTTTCAGAAAAACCATCGTCGCACTGAAGAGTCTGTTCTTCTACAAGACTCGACTTCAGACCCTTTTGCGTCAACTCTTTTTTAATATTAAACGATGTAGTTGGTTTATTTTTTCCGTCTGAAACGGCTTTGGCCTCCGAATCCTCTCTTCTTCCGGATTCTCCCTTATTTACGACTTCCGGGCATAGGTGTTGTTTATAACGTTGTCGTTCGAAGTAGTTTTGATAATAAGCATTACCTCTCCTTCCTTCGTTGGATTTCTTTACAAACAGATCTTCTCGTTTCTTTTCAACTTTCGATTGATTTTCCAGCGCATTCGATTGTCGAGCAATGTTTTGGAATTGGTCGTTTTTGTCGTTTCTCTTAACGAAGACAAACCCACCAACATGCGCATTTATTTTTGACAAAAAATTACTCTTCTGTACCTCGTCATATTTTTTTCTGAGTTTTCGCAATAATCTATGAAACAATCTTTGGCAGAGAATTTTATTCGAACGTCCGTAATTGATATTACACGGGAATATCGCTTTGTTATCAGAGCTGTAAGGAAAGAACTTTTTGAGCTCTTTGATGTAGGCGCATTTGGGCCCTCCTTCTCTAATGATGGCGTTCAATTTTGTTTCTATCTTTTTCCGCAACTTCAACAATTCTCTCGGCATTACCAACAATTCCACTTCACTCCTTTGGACCACGCTGTCTTTAGATGGTTTTTGGCAGTAGCTCAGTTTGTCCGTATCTTCTTTTTTAATGGCGTGGTTCAGTTCGTTCGTTATCAGCTTCGTCAGAGCCAACGCTTCCAGCGAGTCGACTAAAATCATCGAGTTGACGCTCACAGACGTCTTGCTACTTTTCTGACTTAATTTTTTAGTAGCAGACGGCCTTTCAAAGCTTAATTTTGTCGGACTTTCAGTCGGTGAAATTACTGAAGGGTGAAACTTAGTCTGTGGTCTGTCACTCGGTCTTTGATGTACCTCTTCCAAGATTTGGATATTCACGGATTTGACGGATCGTTTATTCCCGTCTTCAGAACTGATCGTTTTTTCTCTCTGATTGCCTAGTTCCTCAGTGCTGATATCTTTTTCCGGTGAGATGGTACGCGAATATCTCGTCGGTGAGTTTTCCGGTGAGAAGGTACGCGAATATCTCGTCTGTGAGTTTTCCGGTGAGAAGGTACGCGAATATCTCGTCTGTGAGTTTTCCGATTGTATCGTAATCTTTTTTGTCGTTACAAAAGATGGGCCTTTTTCTAAAACACCATCACTGTCCTGATCTTCAGAAGGAAAGGGAGGCTTAAGTTGACTTATTATACATTTAGAAGGAATTTTTACAACTTCATCATGTAGAGAAATATGGGAGTTCAGTTTACCTGTTCTTCCGATAGAAGTAAGTCTTTCTTCTTCGCCTTGAGGAGAGTAGGAATTCAGTTTTTCCATTTTCCCTTTTATCTGCTCGTCGAGCTCGTTCATCTGTGCACTAAAGTGTGTGACTATCGACGCCTTCGACCGAGCTGAGTTTTTTCGGCTTTCGACCTTTTCGTTGGGAATATTGATCGATTCCTGTAGGACGACCGAAGGCGATTTGATGATAGTGACTTTCGGTTCGGGTCGGCTGGACCGACTTATTTTATTTTCATCGCCGAAAGCAGGAGGATATTCATTTGAACCGGTTTCTATGTATATTTTCATTTCTGGCCTTTTATTGCAGTTTTCTTTCCTAAGTTCACTCCGGCCTTTATTCTTATCCTTCACCAAACGTTTCCGCTTCCGTTCTTCACCGTACGAATAGGAAAATTGCTGTTTTCTTGGAGATTCGGTACACTCGTCCGTTTGCTGGATTCTGAAATCATCGCTCGCATAATACGATTTCTCCCTTATGTACGACTCGTCGCATTCTATACCTGTCTTCTCGTAAGAAAAGCTGGAGCTGTCGGAGCTTTTCTTTTCGTATGAATAACTCGAACATTCGTCGCTTTTCTTTTCGTAAGAAATAATCGAACCTTCGTCGCTTTTCTTTTCGTAAGAAACACTCGAGCATCCATCGCTTTTCTCTTCGTCGTACTTGTAATACGAATTAACCTTTTCGGACATCCCAAGTTTGTATTTTGTGAAATCTTTATTTTTCGTTTTGACCATCGAAGGCTCATCCATTTCCTCTTCGCATTCATCCATTTCCAGCTTGCCGACCGACCTTTTTTGATGTTTACCTCTGTCGTACACGATATCCTCGTTGACCCTAGTTTTAATGTGAGATTCTTCAGGACCGCTCGAGTATTTTGACTTTCCCTTGTTTGGGATAAAATATATTATAAGTCCAATTATGTTCATTATGTACAATAGGTATGGAAGCGGTGGCTGAAATAAAATCACCATTATTAATTATTAATATTTTTAAGTTGGATTTCTGTAAATCTTAACAAAAACCAAGACAGTTAAATTAAAATAATATTTTTGGAATAATTGGAACTATAAAGTCTTGAAAATAATAATTTATTAGATCACTTAAGTTACTTTCAATTCTTACTTGCAATTGACAGATATGTTTCACACAAGGAGTTTGCTGGAAAAAGAAATAAAATCTATAATTAGTTCAAATCATATATCAAACGAAGTGTTTTTAATTATAATAAACAATGATAATATTATTTAAAAAATAAGTTGTTTCAACGGCATTCGTTCGGCGACTAATAACTGTTAGGGGTTCTCCGAGTCGAAACTCATCGGGCCTGAATTCAACCAGATGTATTTACTTACAAATGTGATGCTGGTGAGAACCCCCTTAAAAAGTGCTAATTTTCTTTAAATAAGACTTTTTTGAATATGATATAGGTACTTTAAAGATAGTGTGTTTGTGTCTGAAAATAATTATCTGTTATAACTAGTTTACGTTTTTCTATACTATGTGCTAATATGTATTAGATAGCCCTAATAACAAAAGTAAGCATTTACATTTTTTAAATAATTTTTGACGTAAAGTGTGGTTGAAATGAAAAATTAGCGTCATGCGCGGGACTCGAACCAACGGCCTCCCGTCCTATACCTACCTCTGCGCTCTAAACACTTGAGCTACATTTTCATCTCAACCACACTTTAAACACAAATTATAAATCAATTTGAATAATTATTTTGGCTAACTAGAATCAAGTAAAAAACATAGATTAGTTTAATAATTTCTGAAGGACCTACACTTTACTAACAGCTACCCGCGGCCACTTCATGTTCACCGAGAATCGAATGCGATTACACAAAATTTGAAATTTTGCCAAAAAGAGGGAAATTTGAAAAAGTTCTATTGTGCTGATGAGCGGGCGTTTCGGAGGACCGAAACTTGAGCGCCGGGGAATAGGCCGGGAAATCGAGGGTTCGCGTCCCGCTCTTGTCACTAATTTTTCATCTCTTTATCTAAAAATTATAAATAAATTTAAATCATTATTTATAATGATATAGAAATGATCGATACGACAACATTACTGGGCTGTATAATAAACAACCTAATAGAAATAGACGTATATAGAAAACCACAACTATAGACACTATGATACAAGCGGATTCTTCCCACCCATGGTCCCAAAAGGCTGCTGGCTTCATTTGGCTCATAGACCGGATGTTAAAACTTCCGCTACACCTGATAACTATAAAAAAGAATTAAAAACGATTAAAACCTTAGCAAAAACCAACGGGTATCAAGAAATATTTATTGATAGGTTGCTAGTTAAAATAATAAAAAAATTAACTTTAAACGAATCAACAATAGCACTCAGCCACCCCACCACAAATGAATCATTAGGTTTCCGTTGTTTGCCATACATTGGTGAATTATCGGAAAAAGTTAGTAAAATTTTTAAACAAGAAGGTTTTAGAATAGCTTTTAGAAGTACGGGTTCACTTAAAAACATCCTCTCAAAACCTAAAGACAAAGTAGACAACTTGGCAAAAAGCGGGGTTTACCAACTCAATTGTAATGATTGTGATATTAAATATATAGGACAAAGCGGTAGAGAAATAAAAACAAGAGTAAAAGAACACTTGCCTAAATCGAGCAAATTTTCGGAATTTAAGGACCATCTAAAAGAAACAAAACATAATTTCAATTCAAATCTAAATACAAGAGTGTTACATAGTTTCAACAAAGGGAAAGAATTAGATTGGTTTGAGAAATTTGAAATTAAAAAATGTAAAATTGAACATGGTGATAAATGCATTAATAATATAACAGATTTTGATCTACCTCCCATTTTAAATATGTACATAAATAATATCAAACATCCAAATAATTAAACTAATTATTTTAACTGTTATTATTTTTATAGTAATTTAATAATATTAAGTATTTACTAGTATAATATTTATTTGTGTTATAATTTCCGCGTTTCGCACGTTCAAATTGAGCGCCATTAAAAAAATCAGCTGCTAATTGGAACGTCGCGTTGGCGGAGGTATCAGCGGGTTCACTTTGGCAATTCATGTCGAGAGACGTGGTTGTAGAAGTCCTTCAACCTGATGATGAGCTAAAAGGCTCGAAATCCGGATCGTTGCAAAACAACTTACTGTGAGTAGGAACTATTTTTTTTTTTTTTAAGGATTGAACACCACACTCACTCCATTATTTATCATTTCTACTACATTACTGGGTTCGTCTATTTGCGATGGTTTCACTTTCACTCATATGCGTTTTGGCTTCTCGTCATCTTAAGGGAGGAACTAACTTGTGTAATCATTGTTAGGATCTCGGGCTCGAATTCAAACTCGAAGTACTTCCAAGTGAGCTTTTTTTCCAAAACACCGATCCCCTGGTGTTGATATGACCACTGCTGTTGAGAACCCTCGTAAAAAATTAATTGCTCTATAAATTTTCTTTAAATCAGTGTTTTATTAATATTATAAAATTTAATGATGTGTGTTTGTTAGTCTGCGGGGAGGAAAATAATTATCAATTATCACTAGTTTAAGTTTTTTTCATAGGCGTTTTTTTACTTTTACTTAACGCCATCTTAAGGGCCATCTCTCTACAATCAGAGTAACAGTTCGACTTATTAAAAATATTTATTTAGAAATCGTGAGATGCGGTCTGGTGTGATGTAGGTTTCAGAAAAACATGTTCTTTATCGTGCCAACGTTTCGATCTTTATTGAGATCAGCTTCAGGGCCTGGGATTTACAAACATTGTTTATATATTACAATTACATTTTGGATGTCGAAAAGTGAATTTATACAATGCAAAATATATTTTTATATATATTCAATCAAAGTATTTCTACTCACTCAAAGTGTTTGTCTTCTGTGTAATTGTGCCATTCTTTCGTGTCGAGTCGAGAGTGCCAGTGAGATTTTGTGTTTATATAAGTTGGATTTTGAAGGGGTGGGGAAGGAAGTCGGTATAGAAAAGACATTTTTGTATAAGGCGTCGGCTTCTTTGAGGTGAAAAGAGCCGACGAAGGGAAAAAATGTGTTGATAATGTTTCGGGCAGATTATCTTTCAGGATTATCTAGAAAGGGATAAATAGGAAAAGGAAAGCTAAATTGTTGGGAAATTAGACTATGTGAAAAATATTTNTTTTGAAGTTATCGGACAAGAGAAATGTGTTTAATTGATGTGATAGGCCTTGGATAAATTGTATAGTAATGTATGCTGGTTTGTTTGTTTTCGATAGATTTAATGTAGTATATTAATAATAGTGGATGGTGTTAGTGTTGAGTTGTAATTGTTGATTATTTACGGTAGAGATTGTTATGGAGGATCTGTTTGTATTTCTTTATGTTTTTGTGGTGGAAGGATTCATGGCTTACGGTAAATAGAAATACTTTGATTGAATATATAAAAAATTATATTTTGCATTGTATAAATTACTTTTCCACATCCAAAATGTAATTCTAATATATAAACAATGTTTGTAAATCCCAGGCCCTGAAGATGATCTCAATAAAGATCGAAACGTTGACACGATAAAGAAAATGTTTTTCTGAAACCTTCATCATACCAGACCGCATCTCACGATTTCTCAATAAATATCGATTAACGGTCACTAATCACCACACATTATTAAAAATATTTGTTTAAAACGTAATTACTATATTTTAATCTAAAGTCAATGGTACTAATGTTGTTAAAAAATCATAATTTAAACGGTAAAAAAATAAATTGTGAGAATTTTTCTCTGTGGTCTGTGGGGTAATGAACCTTAGTTGCCTATCAATTTGATCATCGGCTTATCCTCTCGGTTGATTGGTCTGCCCAACGTGTTTGGAGATTTCGCCATCTTCAATCGCTTTAATTCCTCACCTAACACCGAAGATGGCGAAATGCCGAATCCGTCAGACCAAACCAGCGAGTCTGGGCAGACCAAAACTGATCGATAACGACCAGATTACAGTAAAAATTAGTCATTTCAGTCACTTAATGCGCCAGCATGATATGATAAATATGATTTATTTCAAGATGATTTTGAAGTTTATTACATTTTCATTTAAGCCTAAAGAATTAACTGACAGGCCGTGAAATCTAATCAGGCACTAATCCAAAATCAATCTTAAATCAATATTTGTGGTCTTCAAGCATTTTGAGTCGTAATATTCACGAAAATATATTGTTCTTAGTCGTGACGTTTAACTGATGGCATCGTACTAATTGAAGTTGAAAGGCTGATAAATATGCAGCACAAGTAGGCGGATTTCCTTTCGAAACGAGAGAGATATTTCGTAAGGGGCGATACAGTTCTTTCTCAAGGATGGCAAGAGCGGTCCACGAATGAGTCAGCGGCCAGAACACAGTACCCATGTAACATAGGTATCTAGAGATGTTAATTTTAGCCGAGTTATGACGAAATAATATAATTGGACTGCAAATTTGAGGATCGCGTGTTTTAAATGTTCAATTCTTTTTTCTCAATTTTTTATTTTATTTCCAAAATATTAAAAAAAAAGGAAAGTACTAATAACTTAGACATTTCTTAATGATGATGAAATTCTAGTCAATTGTTCTAATCTTTCTGTACACTTACATATTCTGGGCATTCTGTATTGCAAAACATATTCCTTTTCTTCTTGTTAAAAAATAAATATTTTTCAGTATGTTATATGCACGATTGATATTTTCGTTAACCGTTTTTCAGCTGTTTCCTCCGTGAAGATTTTTCACACCGTGCCGCAATCATTTTTGAAGGGTTGTCACCATTACACTGGGCTTGAAATTTTCTCGGGACTTGGCATTTTGATGCAATAAATCAGCTGGCTGTGAATCTAGAACTCTTCGTTTCCCTTTGTTTTCATACATTTCCCACAAATCTATTAAAAATATTGAATTTATTATACTAAAGAATGAGAAATAATAACAAATCTTCTCAATAAAAAAAAAAAAAATTTATTTGAATACTAAAGCAAGACTACAAAATCATTTCTAGTTTTAACGGAGAATGAGTTTTGAAATAAATTATTACTAATACAAAAAATAGGTGATAACATGGAAGAAATCCCAGATTATCTAAACCAGGGGTGCTCAAACTTGAACTGCTGGCGATCTACCTCAATATTTTTAGACTACTTACGATCGACTCTGAGAGGCTGCAAGTGTGTGTGATGCAGGGTTGTCGTACATACACGATACACCCTACCTACCTAGGTAGGGTGTACCGTAGCATATATAGATATTAGCTTTCTGCACAATATAGGTACATTATTTTAGTCAAGGTTTGGGTTAGGTTTAGTTAGGTTCTTCTCTACAATATCAATGAAAAAACTCATAGTTATTCAAAATTGCGAGTTTATTGGTTGTTACAAAACAAAAGAGTTACATATGGTGTTAAACTTAACTAAGGAGTGGCTTTGGATGTTGAAGCGTGGCACTGCATGTCCTCAGTATACTTTTCATAAGATGGTACGTAACCACTGAGTGCTAATCGCAAGCATGATGACATATGATCGTCAGTTAGTCGATTGCGATATTTTGACTTAATTATCTTCATTTCAGAAAATGCAGACTCGCACAAGTAAGTTGACCCAAAAAATGCCGTCAGTTGAAGGGCGATTTGCCTTACATTCGGATATTTATCTTCAGATATAAAACACCAGAAATTTGTATCAGATGCTGTAGCTTTGAGATGTATATCTGATATAATCTGCACCAACTCATTTTCAACAGAACATGAGTTCATATTAAACTGACTTGCTATTTCAGTAGCTAATTCCTCAATGTTTTTACATGAAAAAGGATAACTCATAAATGATGCTATATTTTCCAATTTACTGCAATCATAAAAACGCATTTCGAATTGTCCCAAAATATTTGATAATTCAGCCTCATACGTATCATAATTCAACTGAGGAATCCTTGCTTTCAAAGAGGGAAAATGTTTCAGATCCTTTCTTTTCAGTTGATCTATCATAAGTTGCAATTTACTTTTGAATGCGTTTACTGCGCTAATCATCTCAATAATAGTTTTTCCTTTACCTTGAAGCTCCAAGTTAACGGTGTTTAAGTGCATTGTGATGTCAGTCAAAAATGCCAAATCAGTCAGCCATTTTTCGTTTTTCAAAATCTGAGTGTCATCACTTCTTTCGTCTAGAAAAGCTGTTATTTCGGGCAATAATTCTTGAAACCTTTCTAGGAATTTTCCGCGACTCAACCACCTGACGTCCGTGTGAAGAACTAAATCAGTGTGTTCGTTCAGCTGACTCCCTATCTTCCAACTGCAACTGAAAGAGCCGCCGTTGCAAGCTACGTGCACGGATGGAATTCACAATTTTTGTTGCAATGCCCATAATTTCCTCCGTGTTTAAAACTTTTGAACACAAAACTTGTTGATGTATAATGCAATGGAATGAAAAAAATGAAGGGAATTCTTCATTAGCTCGACACAATGCCACAAAACCGTTTTTGTTTCCAGTCATTGCTGGTGCTCCATCGGTTGTAATGCACACTAATTTATATATTGGTAGCTCGTAGTTTTTACAAAATTGAAGAAAACGTCATATATATCTTCGCCACGGGTCTTCCCCTTCAGAGGAATGATTGTCAAAAATTCTTCCTTAGCCAACATGTCATTGAATACCATCCGAATAAAAATATACAGCTGGGCAGTGTCTGTCATATCGGTGGATTCGTCGAACTGTAAAGAAAAGTATGTACATTCCATGATATCATGTTTTAGTTTATCTGCGATGTCCTGACTCATGACTTCAATACGCCTTGTGACAGTCGGACGAGATAACTGAAGTTCTCTAATAGCAGACATGATTTCTGTTTTATTTTTAAAATCTCCAAATAAAGTCTCACCCGCTTCAATAAATGCTTCCTTCACCACCGATCCATCTTCGAATGGTTTCTTGTGTTTCGCCAATATATGAGATATTTTAAATGACGCGATCGTAGCAGCTTTTGATTGTTTGGCTGGTCTTGTGAACATGGATTGTTCTTTTTTCAAACAAGATATCAAATCACTTACTTTTCGTTTTCTTAATTCACTCTGTGGCGGAAAATCCTTTTCATAGTTTTTATGAACCGTTTTATGATGCCTCTCTAAGTTACCACGCTTAGGTATTGCAACTGACGCACGACAAATAACACAAATGCACTTATCCTTCACCATACAAAAGAAAAATTCTTCCTCCCAATCCTTATTAAAATGATACGTTTTAGATTTCACTGCACTCATTTTCCACTATTTAATAATAAACTTTGTATCGACGTAGTATCGCCATCAAGTTACAATTCAGAATGACTCCAATTCCTGCAGGCACAACATTTATATCGGCGTGAACGAAAGTCTCGAATGTTCCCGTCAAACGCGCCGCCCGAAACTAGACTGTACTGTCTCTCGTTGTTTCTAGACTAGACTGTACTGTCTACTAGTCTAGAAACAACGCGGCTTTTCTTTGACAAGTGCCGCGCGTTCCTTTGATAAAGCCACCTTTTGCCGCAAGCAGTGTTATTTTATTACGTAATACATTTTTGTAGTTTAGTTACCTACCTACTTATTAAAAATTTTTTTCTTCTCGAGATCTACTCAAAAAGCACTCGCGATCGACTGGTCGATCGCGATCGACCGTTTGAGCACCCCTGATCTAAACTATTAAAATGTAGAAATAATATATACAAATATATTATATCTATGAGAAAATAAAATCTCTTGTGTGGAAAAATATTGATTGTTCTAAGGCGACAAAATCACATTAGGTTTTTTTAATTGAACGTAGATACATAATATAAAAAGTAAATAAATAAAGAAGCACTCTTTTGATATTCTCTCCGCTTCACGATAATAACAATGAATCATGAAAAAGATAGTTCTACTCAGAGAAGTTTTATGCAGCTATCCGGATTTCAAGTAATAAATACTCATCATCAGGCATAGAAACTCATAGAAACTCGTCTCTCGACGGAAATGGACGAATGGTTTGTAAATCCAGCGCCAACGCGACGTTACAATGACCAGCTGGTTTTTGTGCCCGCGGTTTGAACGTGCAAAAAACTCGGATTATAACACTACTAAATATTATCTTAATTTATACTATAAAAAATAATTTTAAATTAAGGATTAACTTGTATGTATATTATTTATGTGCAAGTTTAAAATTAGGGGGGGTAATCAAAATCTATTATATTATTTATGCATTGATCTCCATGTTTAATTTTAATTTTTTTAATTTAAAATTTCTCAAAACAGTCTATTCCCCCAATTTTTTGTTGGAGATATTGTCCAATTAAAAAAAGTATTGTATAATAATTTGTTGGACTAGTAAGGAGCGGTCAAGAAGGAAGTAGTTTAGAAAAACACATTTTTTCCCCCTTGACTTTTCTACCTTTATTCGGGTCATCTTAAGGGCCTGGGTGAAAAACAAACATGTTGATTGGAAATAATACAATACAAATGTAAATACGAACTTTGAACCAAGTACTCATAAAACTAAGGCGCTATTTTTGTGGTGTCATATTGATGTTGTGTGAAATTGTTGTGAAACTTGAAATTCTATTCTATATTATTTTATGATTGTGATAAGGCGGGAGACGCGGTAAATCTGGGAAATTTTCTTTGATCATAGGCGGTTTTAGTTAAGCCAAAGAATGAGGATTTTCTGGATTGGATTTGAAATGCGGGGTTATTCAATTTTGGAAAGAAAGTTAATTATTAAGGAAAATAACAAAGGAAAGGGAAATATAAAAATAAATATTTATGAAAGGTATTGGTTGAGATAAAAAGTCAGTGTCACGAGCGGGATTCGAACCCACGATCTTCGGCTAAAAACGCCGCTGCTCTACCACTTGAGCTATCGTGACTTCGATCCACTCGGACACCAAGTTCCCACCTCAACCTACCTTTCGAATGTTCCCTCCATTTTTGCCATTTTTCAAATGTCGTGTAATCTATTTGATTCTCGGCGACAAATGAAATGGCCACGAAGAGCTTTGTGAAGATATACTTCAGTTTAATTATTAAATCCATTACAGTTCGTGGTCCGTTTGACCAATTAACATTTTCAATTAATTAATATGTATGAAAGGTATTGGTCGAGATAAAAAAGTCAGTGTGACAAGCGGAGGTTGAGATGGGAAGTTGGTGTCCGAGCGGATCGAAGTCACGATAGCTCAAGTGGAAGAGCAGCGGCGTATTTAGCCGAAGATCGTGGGGTCAAATCGAATAGGATTCGACATTGGTATCTTGCATAGATGTGTGGTTTTTTATTTTTTTCCAGACATTGCAATGTAATTTCAATGTACGTATATGTTTATGATTTGTAGGCTGTTGGTGTCGGGTCTTTGACTTTGGAAAAATGTGTGTACTGGTTTGTAGTTTTAAAAAGTTATTTTAACGTGTTCTGAGGAAAGAAATTAACTTAATTTTGTGACAATGTGTGAACGAATAGAATGGACATCTATATTGGTTTGGCTTTGTGCGATTGGGTTAATGATGTGTTATGTACTGTCGAGGATGTTGTTTTGTGCTGGGATTGTTTAAGATTATGTTGTTGTTGTTGATATGTAAGAATTGTTTGTATGCTTGAATAGATTTTAGGTGAAAGGATTCATGACTTGAGATATAATTCTGGGTAACGATCCTTTAGCCGTGTTTAGTATTGTGTGTAGGGGATGGTGTGATGTATAATTGAGGTAGCGATCAGTGTTCATAGGTTTTTGGTATCAATATGTAATTAGTGTGCCATCTGTTTGTCTTATTGCGAGTGTGTCTAGGTGTTTTGTTTTCTGTTTCAACTTCATGTGTGAATTCTAAATGAGGATGAAAGCTGTTAGATCTGTTTAACGGTGTTTGTATTTGATCTAAGGTTACTGCTGATAGAATGTTATGTCACAGTGTTGAGTAATTGTGTCATCACTAAACCTGCTAGTATAGGGCCTAGATTGCTGCCCATGACTATGGCAAATAGTTGCTTGTAGAGATGTTTGTTGTCAGTTAAACATCCGTTTGTGCAGCAGGATCGTTGTTTTGAAGGTTGTTTGTGAGGGATTGTCAATTGTCTGATAATTTTAAGTGCTAGGTCTATTGAGATGTTTATGAAAAGCGATTTGACATCTATAGGTATAAGTGTGTAGTCTGTGGGTATTATGGTTTGGTTTATTGTGTTATTGAAATGAAACGAGTCTTTTACGTTGCAAATGATGTCTGCGATATTATTGAGTATGTTGGTGAGGTATTTCGATAGATTGTATGTCGGGAAATTTACGAAGGAAGTTACTGGTCTCAAAGGATAACCGGGTTTGTAGATTTTGACAGCTATGTACAATTTCGAAGTATGGGTGAATTATTCTGGAAAGAATTTTATGTGTATGTCTATTTCTTTGCGTTGTAGTAAATGCTGTAGGATTTCATTGGTATTTTTGTCGGAGTGGGGTCAGATTTCAGTGTTCTACTGTGCCATTTACAATTGTGTTGAATTTTCGTATGCAGCCATTTTTAACCGCTTGTTTTGTTTTATCCGCTGAAAGGATGAGTATATCTGGGTCATTTTGAATATTGTACTGTACATGAAGGAATATAATAAATTTGTTTATTTTATAGTTAATATTTTACAATTCGTACAATTTTTCATAAATCCCGACCTCTTTTGGAGGAAACATTCGTACAAGAAGCTAGGAAAAGCTCATTTCGGCTCCAAAGCAATCAAATTGGATTGAAACGAAACCAGACACACAAAAATAATTAATAAAATCAGACACCCATTCCGAGAAATGGAGACTGCCTATATGATCCCGGAAACATTCTTTACAACATCGTATAAAGTCTCATGAAACCACAAAGGAAATGAAGAACTCATGAGTGTATAAGATACAAAACAATCGAAAGAACCGGATCGGGTGTTTTAGTCAAGGGCTGCATGTCGTGGGAGAATGTTGGCCACCTAGTTTCATCGTATTATGAATAAGTAATAAAAGTATGTTCACATTTTGCGCCATAACTTGAACAGCTGTGCTGAAAAGATGTGGATCAGGGGCGGAGACAGATCAAAAACTCGACCCAAATCACCAGATAAATCCCATAATGTCGTACCTGCTGGACGTAAATTTAAGATAAAGTATGGGCTCTGATCGGGCCTGAAATAACCCATAACCTTGTATCCTCGACGTCGCGAAGAATCGTCGCAAGAAAGTCGCAAATGGTACGGTAACAAAATATTCAATTGTATTTTGTAAAGTATACATACAATATCTCAAAAACAAAATTTAATATTTATTTAAAGACTCGATGAAGGGGATATATTTATTGAAAACTTGACAACGAAATTGAGCGTTTTCTTGTTAATTGGCTTTGACCCTGATCTTTATTTTTTTTGTTTTTAGTATAAAATTATAATTATTCAGATATCATGAGATGCGGTCGGGTGTCATGTAGGTTTCAGAAATTTTTTTTTTTATCGTGCCATCGTTTCGATCTTTTATTGAGATCATCTTCAGGGCTCAAAGTGTTTGCTTTGCAAGGATGGCACAATTACACAGAAGACAAACACCTTGAGCCCTGAAGATGATCTCAATAAAGATCGAAACGTTGGCACGATAAAGAAAATGTTTTTCTGAAACCTACATCACACCCGACCGCATCTCACGATATCTGAATAACTATCGATTAACGGTCACTAATCTCTACACATAATATTATAATATCGAAAATCGATACCTTACCTCCGACCTAAGAATCATGATATATCATTCTCCGATATAAAATAAATGACCAAATATTAGATTAGCTTAATTAATGTCGTTTGTTTGTAATTAAGAAAAAATTGTAAAACTGATCGGTCTGTTTTCTACGATAGATTATTTTCAAAACAAGGACAGATTATGTAATGCTCCCATTGACCTTATAGAGTTAGTAGAATGTTTTGAGAATTAAAATTTTAAATGAAAATATTTTAGGTATTTTAATTGGGATACGTTTTTGTAGAGAGCCTATATGGTATTTTTAACCAGTTACAGACGGGTAGACTGATTCAGCAAAACTGACAACATTTGATCGAAATTTCAAGTGATTTAACGACCTTCTAACTTTAAAAGATTGCATAAATCGAATAATAAACAACATTATTTAAAAAACAATATGTATTTATTGGAGGGATTAATTATGACACACATCTCAGGAGAAAGCTTTAACAATATAATTTACGGTTTTAAAAGAACGAATTCGGCGGTTGATTATTGAAGTTGAAATCTCGTGTGATCCAGCCGTCGGACGCTTCGAATCGACTGTCGACTGGGATTTTATTATTCTGCACTTCTTTCTGTACTGGAACCGCTCTCCAGAAGGCCTGACCCGCCGCCAGACTCACGAAAAGCACCACAAAAAGCAGAATCGCAACCTTCATTTTTCTGAAAAAAGTACATAAGACATTTTTAGAACAAAACATTCCTTGCGGACAATTGACACTTATTTAATTTTCGAAGTAAACTATGATATATTTTATTCACTTATACATGTTTATAAATTTGACATGCTTTACTTGCAAGTAGTTATTAATTTATTTTAATACTGAGCATACAGGGAAGATAAAGGGGCTAAAAAAATGCATTAATAATGGTAAAACGATAAAACAAAATTGTCATAAACTACACATGCTTAGTTTAACTTCAGTATGATAACTAATAGAGAATCTTTAAATATCAGCATAATATATATTACAAAAGTAAAACATGCTTAAACTGCACATTTAATTTTCAATTCTTTTCAAAATTGGAGACAATATATGAAAAAGTGCACGAAAACTCGCAGTCACTTTCTTGGTGTTCTGTCCAAAATATAAAAAAACAAAATGAATGCACTATAAAAACATTAAGTAGTGGTAAAGCTAAAATTTATAATGATTAGAGCAATATTGTATAACTGATTGAAAAATCTAAAAGCATAATAAATTATGAAGGCAGTTGAAATAATATGTACTCCGAGAAAAAATATAGCACTAGAGAAATTGTTCGAAAGTTGTGTACTATGTTTTTTCATTGATGTTGCCAATGTCACTTCCGCATCAAATTATTTCCTACATGTTATTACAATAGTTAACAGACATTGTTATATTGTCATGTTGTACGGATGTCTTAATTGATAATGTTATTCTTGAGTACCTTAGTTTATTATGTGATAGAATTAGAAAAGATTTCTTTGTTAGGACCTCCACACCGCTAGAATCACCGACACCGACTGATGCAGAAAGGCTCATTTTGCACACCTCCGGGGAAAGGGGAGTCGCGGTGCGCCGGCCAGAATCAGCCTTGGTGCTGAACATGAACAAGCCAATTCGTTCTGGGTTGGTGGCATCTTCCGCGTACTACATGCGGAAGGCGTGAAGGCGATCTTGAGATAATAGCATATTAAAGGTATCAAAAAAAAAAAAAAAAAAAAAAATCGTTGAAAATGAACAAAATTTCATCTGTTTAACGAGTCCAGATCGTTGCATCATGGCCAACCGGTTTCGGGCGGCGTAATTTCAACCGTTTGGATTCGACTTGGTTTGTCATGGCTCTGGGAAAAACTGACTGTGACGGCAAATTTCGTTTTCTCGACAAACAAAGATGGAAAAAAAAAGAAAAAAGTCCTAATTGCTGACAGTAGTAAATTATACTCGGGCTTCCCAGCTTTAAACTACGGGGTTAGTCTTTATTCAACTTATAACGTTCACCAAATCAACAAGAACGGGATTTTGCAAAACAAAAAGTTTTTACTTGTAATTGCGCTTATTTTTTTTAATAGCACTTTGTTTGTGATGGCTAAAGCGCCTTCTGCAATGGATCCATCAAGTAGCACTATTGGTCCTCCTTGTACGGGTTGAACGGTACAAGCTTTTTAAAGCCTCCATAGCCTTGATAGCTGCTCCTCAGTCGTCATTATAATTAGCTTTCCTTTTCCCGTGAGTAGAAGCCTTCTAATCGTTAGGTCTTCACAATAATCGTATATTGGGTTGTCCGGACACTTTACCACTCTATACAGGGTGTTCGGCTACTTGGGTTACAAACTTTGCCCGTAGATTCTACATTCAAAATGGAACCAAAAAGTCCCAATTAACTATGGTGCGAATCTCAGCAGTTTCGGAGTTATTCCACATTTTTTGATTTTTTAAGATTTCACGACCTTGCTTCAAATAAACAATGATAACTCCAAAATTAAAAGATTTTGGACAAAACTACGTTAAATTTCCAATAAGATGTGATCAATACTAAACTTTTAAACCTTCCTAAATTAAGCGTTTTAGTAGCGATAACTTTGAAAAAATAAGTTTTTTGAAAGTTGAAAAACTTACTATGATGATTCTAAACTACCATTTCCAAACCTAGAGACCAGCAAATTTCAGAAAATGTACTCCATTTACGATCCTGTTTAGTGGTGTAATTTCTTTTTTAATTACTTTTTTCAAAAATGAAAAAATTGATGGAGGAAAGGAAAAAACCGTGGCTGACGGATGGGTAAGGTGAAAAATTAAAAAAAAAAAATCAAGTAAATTTTGAATGAATTTATTAAACTTTTTTTTTTATTTGAAACCGAAATAGTGCAAGTGTTCACTTATTTACCAACACGACTGCACGTTTGATTAAAGAATTATTGTATTATTATTCACAGGTATAAAAGAGTTTTAATATTCAAACTGTTTTCAGTTACCTATGTGATAGCTTGTTAACACTATGGAGTACGGGTTTTGCGGCCTTCATTCGTCGTCAGCGCGTCGGAAATACATTACGGAGGGTGGCGAGCATTTCAAATAAAAATTTAGAAATATTTAATGAATTCATTCATAATTTTCTTCAGTTTTTATTTTTTTATTATTGTTAATCTTTCCACCTTACGGTTTTTTTCTTTCATCAATTCCTTCATCTTTGAAAAATGTAATTAAAAAAGAAATTACACCACTAAAAATGATATTAAATGGAGTATGTTTTCTGAAATTTGCTGGTCTCTAGGTTTTGGAAATAGTAGTTTAAAATCACTGTGGTAAGTTTTTCAATTTTGAAAAAACAATTAATTGAGGTTTTTAGTTGAGATAAAAAAGTCAATGGCACGAGCGGGATTCGAAATCACAATCTTCGGCTTGATACGCCGCTGCTCTACCACTTAAGCTAAGGTGACCTCGATCCACTCGGACACTAACTTCCCATCTCAACCCCACCTTTTGAATTTTCCCTCCTTTTTGCCATTTTTCAAATGTCGTGTAATCGGATTGGATTCTCGACGACAAATGAAATGGCCACGGAGAGCTTTAGTGAAGTATACTTCATTTTAAATCATTAAATTCACTAATTTCGTGGTCCGCTTGACCAATTAATATATTACAATTAATTAAGGTTTTTAGTTGAGATAGAAAAGTCAATGGCACGAGCGGGATCGTCACCGAATGGATCGATGTCGCGATAGCTCAAGTGGTAGAGCAGCGGCGTATTTAGCCGAAGATCGTGGGTTCGAATCGTGTCATTGACTTTTTTATCTCAACTAAAAACCTTAATTAATTGTAATATATTAATTGTCAAGCGGACCACGAAATTAGTGAATTTGAAAAAAACAGTTTTTTCAAAGTTCTGGCAACTAAAACGTTTATTTCACGAACGTTTACCAGTTTAGTATTAATCACATCTTATTAGAAATTTAACGTAGTTTTCAATGGTATCAATGGGTTTGTCCAAAACGTTTTAGTTTTGGAATTATGATTGTTTATTTGAAGCAAGGTCGTGAAATTTAAAAAAATTAGAAAAAGTGAAATAACTCCGAAACTCTTGAGATTAGGACTATAGTTCATTAGAACTTTTTGGTTCGTTTTTAAATGTAGCATGTACTGGCAAAGTTTGTAACACAAGCAGCCGAATATCCTGTGTAATAAACGTTTGATGGATTTTCATTTGTATGAATGTCAACACGTTTTCCTCTATAAAAAAACATGTTTACCTCAGTAGCATTTCCTTATAGCGATTCAGTCTTTACTATGTCATCGCATGATTTTCGCATAATTTCAGTTTACTCGGTCGGAACGGTGCCCTAACTACAACATTAAGGAAGATTGGGGCGATGGCAGCGTGAGTGAGAGCACCGTTCAGAGACGGTTTAAAGATTTTGCCTAAGAGACCATAGCCTTAAGACAAAGAATGCCATGGAAGGATTTCTTACCTAGATGATGTTCTGCGAGTTTTGGTCGAAGAAAATCCCAGGACATTTATTCGAGAACTTGCAGAGAATCTTCCAGTTAGCAAATTGACCGTCGCCGGTCACGTTAAGGAAATTGGATAGATGAAAAAGCTCGAAAGTTAGGTTCCTTATTAAAATCATCATATGAAGTTTGTGCAATACTTTTTTGCCGAAACGAAAAGAAACCTTTTCTGGATAGAAAAAATTACTTGCAATAGAAAGTAATTCTCTACGTTAACAGTAGACGCTCTGGAAAGTGGTTTGACAAAGGGCAGCAGAGAAGCGGCACCTTATTTTTCAAAACCCCCCGAACTTATCAAAAAATGTGATGGTGCCTGTTTGTAGGCTTCATTTGGGCTGATTTACTTCAGCTTCTTGAATCAATGCCGAAATTTCTCAAATTTCTTTGTTCTCAAATTGAAAAATACGAACTAGAAATTAGCATTATTAAAGCCTTCCTTGGACAATCGAAAAAGGCCAATTATGTTACAAGACTATGCTCGGCCCCATGTCTCACATGAGACAACACGAAAACGTTGGATCTTGGATATGAGGTTCTTCCTCACCATCCCTATTCTCCAGACATCTCGCCTACTGATTAGCATACTTTCAGACAGCTCGACAACATTTTGCAACACAAACGATTTATTGATCGAAAGTCATTAGAAAATGTTTACAGAATTAGTTAATTATCAAGACACAATATTCTATTCAAAGGGAATAGAGAAATAGCCATCACGTTGGGAGAAGTCTATCGAAAGTTATGAAGTGTACTTTAAATAATAACAAATGTTTCGAATCACCAATATTTAATTGTTTTTATTTTATCACCATAAATCTGCATTATTATCCGGACAACCCGATAATATGCACTCCTGTTTTCTCTTCTTCTGGGTTGTCTATCTAGTTTTCATGTATTGGGTTGTCCGGAAAATAATGCAGGATTTTAAGTTTTCATTAAAAAAAATCTATATAAAATATTCTGTTTACGTTTACAGGATTANTGGGAAATTATTTTGATTAAAGAACATTGCTTTAAAGTAACTAGTTTCTTTTTTTTTGTTTAATACCAAAATCCTGCATTATTTTCCGGACAACCCAATACATATTGAGTTAGCAATGTCCGGTTGACAGGGCTGAAGACAATTAATGAAAGTTTTAAACCGTTATAAACTTAAGACCTTATAAACACATCTTAAGAAAAATTAAGTATCATTCAACTTGTGAATAGTAAGAAAACGCAGTTAAACGAAATTTTGAAGTTTGTATTTTTTGTTTTTCAATTGTTCACTAATATCTTTGTCCCAAAGGAATTAACCGATGGTTACTAAATAATCCATATATGTTTAGCAGTCATAATTGATCGTATTAATTATTTATTTTTTACCTAAGGTCTCGGTTGAAATGAAAAAGTTAGCTCACGTGGTTAGAGCAGCGGCGTATACTGCCGAAGGTCGTGGGTTCGAATCCCGCTCGTGACACTAATTTTTTTATCTTAACGAAAAAAACATTAGATAAAAAGAATAATTAATTTAAAAAAGTTATGAATTGATACTAAAAAGTATTACTTTTGGAATAGGGTGTGAAAACTATACTAAGAATCACTGAAAGAGAACTTTTTCTTATTTTTCATCTCCAGCCACGAACCAAGCGCACATTTTACATACAGCTATACAGAATTTATAAAAGATGAGAGTTTAGAGCTGAGCTTCCATCCTTAGTTGGCTGAAAATTGAAGGATGGATATGACCACATGTCCATGTGGTAGAAATGTCAAGGTGATCTCATCGCATCATCTTTAACAAAAAAAATTTAATTTTCTGCATTTATTTAATTAATTATTTTATTTATACAAAATATGAATCCTGACTTACAAATCTGGCCCGGGCCAGAAAAGCCTGGCAATCTAGCGGCAGCTTTTAGAAAGCTGAGCTTCCTTTCGGGGCCAATAGAACGCACCTCATTCCTGATCCTTGCCAATTCGAAAAGGTTACTTAATTACTGTATATTTCTCCACTTTCTTTAATATATTAATGAACACGAAATATTCGAAATATCTTTAATAAGTCTTACTAATTCCAAGTATTACGGAGCTTTGTTAGATTGAAATTTCAAAAGATTAATTATGTACCACAAAGTGCTTAGTCTTAACAAAAAAAGGCCTATGGAGGTAGTACTGGAGAAAATGTGAGGAATGCTTATTTGACGCACCCCGCAAAATAAATAAATAAAAAATCACTGAAGTCTGTCGTTCTTATACAATAGAAAAATTATATAACGGTTTATGTTTTCCCATTTTCCCTCCTTTTTTCTCATTGAACTAATTAAGAAGCCGTTGTTTGTCGTTTCCAACCATTTTGGTCAGAAAG